TTTTACGAGAAGCTAACTATTAATGGAAGAGATTTTGAATATAAAGCAGAAATTTAGGGATTAAATCTAAAGCAACTTTTACTGAAATTTTTATTGAAATACTTTTGTATTAATTTTAATACAATGTATTTCGTTTACCGTCTTTAACATCTTAAGCTTATAATTTCTATAAACAAAACTTAAACTTAAAAACTTTTAATCGAAACTACTCTTAAAAGCTTTAATTATTGTAAGAGTTCTTTTTGTGAACTATTTATATAAAAAAGAGATATTAATTTAAAAGCTTGTTTGTTTTCATTGAAAGCTTTTTATGATTTTATTACTCACATGAGTAATTGCGGATTGTTCGATCAATATTTTATACCCAAACGAGTAAAAGCTCACTCACTACAAAACAAAATCACTCAATAATGTGAACAGTGCGGCTAAATGATTTATTTTTTAGTTAAATAAAATAACGCGGGCTAATAGGGAAATAAGAACTTTTGTAATGGTTCTAAAATTCTGAACTAGAACTGAACAGAACAGAACTAGAACTGAACTAGAACTGTACTAGAACTGAACTAAAACTGAACTAGAACTGAACTAGAACTGAACTAGAACTGAACTAGAACTGAACTAGAACGGAACTAGAACTGAACTAGAATTGAACTAGAACTGAACTAGAACTGAACTAGAACTGAACTAGAACTGAACTAGAACTGAACTAGAACTGAACTAGAACTGAACTAGAACGGAACTAGAACTGAACTAGAATTGAACTAGAACTGAACTAGAACTGAACTAGAACTGAACTAGAACTGAACTAGAACTGAACTAGAACTGAACTAGAACTGAACTAGAACTGAACTAGAACTGAACTAGAACTGAACTAGAACTGAACTAGAACTGAACTAGAACTGAACTAGAACTGAACTAGAACTGAACTAGAACTGAACTAGAACTGAACTAGAACTGAACTAGAACTGAACTAGAACTGAACTAGAACTGAACTAGAACTGAACTAGAACTGAACTAGAACTGAACTAGAACTGAACTAGAACTGAACTAGAACTGAACTAGAACTGAACTAGAACTGAACTAGAACTGAACTAGAACTGAACTAGAACTGAACTAGAACTGAACTAGAACTGAACTAGAACTGAACTAGAACTGAACTAGAACTGAACTAGAACTAGAACTGAACTAGAACTGAACTAGAACTGAACTAGAACTGAACTAGAACTGAACTAGAACTGAACTAGAACTGAACTAGAACTGAACTAGAACTGAACTAGAACTGAACTAGAACTGAACTAGAACAGAACTAGAACAGAACTAGAACAGCACTAGAACAGATCTAGAACAGAACTAGAACTGAACTTGAACTGAACTAGAACTGAACTAGAACTGAACTAGAACTGAACTAGAACTGAACTAGAACTGAACTGAACCAGAACTGAACTGAACTAGGACAGAACTAGAACAGAACTAGAATAGAACTAGAACAGAACTAGAACAGAACTAGAACAGAACTAGAACAGAACTAGAACAGAACTAGAACAGAACTAGAACAGAACTAGAACTGAACTAGAACTAAACTAGAACTGAACTAGAACTGAACTAGAACTGAACTAGAACTGAACTATAACTGAACTAGAACTGAACTAGAACTGAACTAGAACTGAACTAGAACTGAACTAGAACTGAACTAGAACTGAACTAGAACTGAACTAGAACTGAACTAGAGCTAAACTAGAACAGAACTAGAACAGAACTAGAACAGAACTAGAACAGAACTAGAACTGAACTAGAACTGAACTATAACTGAACTAGAACTGAACTAGAACTGAACTAAAACTGAACTAGAACTGAACTAGAACTGAACTAGAACTGAACTAGAACTGAACTAGAACTGAACTAGAACTGAACTAGAACTGAACTAGAGCTGAACTAGAACAGAACTAGAACAGAACTAGAACAGAACTAGAACAGAACTAGAACAGAACTGGAACAGAACTAGAACTGAACTAGAACTGAACTAGAACTGAACTAGAACTGAACTAGAACTGAACTAGAACAGAACTGGAACAGAACTAGAACAGAACTAGAACAGAACTAGAACAGAACTAGAACAGAACTAGAACAGAACTAGAACAGAACTAGAACTAGAACAGAACAGAACAGAACAGAACAGAACAGAACTAGAACTAGAACTGAACTAGAACTGAACTAGAACTGAACTAGAACTGAACTAGAACTGAACAGGAACTAGAACAGAACTAGAACAGAACTAGAACTGAACTAGAATTGAACCTGGACTATAAATTTTTTAATACCCTCCACCACCATCAGTGGTGATAGAGGGTATATATAACTTTGTCATTCCGTGTGTAACACCAAGAAATATTCATCTGAGACCCAACAAAGTATATATATTCTGGGTCCTTATCAAATTCTGAGTCGATTTAGCTATGTCCGTCTGTCCGTCTGTCTGTGTAAAACACGCTCACGATAAAACGAACCAATAGAGTTTAACCAAATTCACCCATAATGTTCTTCATTTTCCTAAGTTGTTTGGTATTGAAAATGGGCAAAATCGGTTCACACCGGGAAAAGTTATGAATCAAAATTTAAAACAACCTCGAAAAAAATAAGCATTTTTTACACATTCTGATGTAATTTTCTCGAAAACTATGCAAGATAATTCCATGAAAATCACCATACATTCGTTTCTGCACAAAATCTTGATCTCTGCTGAAAATTTTCTGAACTGGTCCACAATTTCATATACCTCCCATACAAAAGTACATATTCCCGGAAAATGGGTTTTTTGTTAATAACTTCCGTCACAATGTCGATATCTTCACAAAATTTTACAAATTAAAATCTTATGTCAATAGAATTCATACAGAGGAAAAATTTTCTGGGTCGGTCCATAATTCGAAATAGCTCCCATACAAGGTCCCCTCCCGAAAATCACTTAAACGCGCATAACTCATTACTAAATTAAGATATCCATATAAAATTTGGTACAATTATTGCTTATATGCACAGAAATATTTCTGAGCAATTTTTTTCCGATCGGTCCATAACTGGTCATAGCTCCCCCTCCCGAAAATCACTTAAACACATATAATTCATTACTAAATAAGATATCCATATAAAGTTTGGCAGAAGTATTGCTCATATACAGATAAATATTACTGTGAAATTGTTTTCCTATCGGTCCATAATTTATCATAGGTCCCTTTCAGAAAAACACTTAAAGGCACATAACTCGTTTTACGATCGGTCCATGTTTGGTCATAGCTCTCATACTAGGTTCCCTTCAGAAAAGAAAATGGCATTTGTAATGTTCAATAAATCTTGGAATTGTAATAGATTTAAGTTGTTTAAATCTTGGGATTTTTCTATTTAACACATGAGAAAACTTATTTCTACAAATATTTGATCAATTAGAAAAGTTTAACATAAAAGTAGCTGGTGGAGGGTATTTAAGATTCGGCTCAGCCGAATATAGCACTCTAACTTGTTTTTTTCATTTTTCATGAAAAATTTCATTTGTTATGAAAAATTTCATTTGTTATGAAAAATTTCATTTTTTATGAAAATTTTAATTTTTTATGAAAAATTTCATTTTTTATGAAAAATTTCATTTTTTATGAAAAATTTCATTTCTTATGAAAAATTTAATTTTTTATGAAAAATTTCATTTTTATGAAAAATTTAATTTTTATGAAAAATTTCATTTTTTATGAAAAATTTCATTTTTTATGAAAAATTTCATTTTTATGAAAATTTTTAGTTTTTTTTTTAAATAAAATCTTTTTTCATGAATAATTACCTTTGCTGTATTTTTGCTTAAGTAGCAAATCTATAAACGAGTATGAACACATTTTTATTCATCTTGCTTTATTTGTAATTCCTGAATACTTTTTCGTTTGCAAATTAGTACTTAAGCTTAGTAGCTTTAGTTGCAAAAGCAACAACAACTATAGAGGTTAAGGATGCATGTTAAGATTGGTACATAAAATAATGAGAAGTGAATAGTAGTCATTTGAGTATATTAAAGTAGTTTTAAGACAATAGCTTATTACATTTAAAACGTATTTTTTAAAGACTATTTAAAATAAAAGTTAGACATGTTATACATCAATGAATAGGTAATCGTGTCTAGATTTTATATATGAATAGATTTTTTATAATTTTTAACAATTTAAGGCTTTAAATTTATTTTGAAAATTGATTATTGAAATGGCAAAAAAAGAGTTTTAAAAGTTATGTTGGAGTTGTATTGCCCTTAGTCTAAAGACGAGCTTAACTTTGAGAATAGAAGGATTAATTACAATAGCTCAGGCAACGTCTAAGGCAACACAGAACCATCAGCGAGTTTATTATATATTTTTGCCAAATTTTGTTCCACATAAAGCACTGTGCGACTTTTAAGTATATCATTTGCTCTTGTGTTTGTAAAGTTTTTTTGGTACTTTTTTTTACTTTAGTCCAAAAGTACTTTAAATTTGTTTACTCTTACTACAAAAAAAAAGATGTTTTTCAAAAGCCGGCAACTGCTTTAATACCGGTTTCTTATTGTTGTTGTTTAGTAATAATACTCTTGTTTGTTTTCATTGATTAAATTGATTTTCTCTCTCTAACCATTCACATGCTCTCTCACAATCACTCTCTTGAAACGATCGTGAGAAGTAATAATAAAAGCTTTTTGTTTGTTGTTAGGGTGGGGAGGGGAGGTGAGCACAATTACAATACACAAGCATTGAGAGGTGGTTGTTATTGTTGTTGTTGTTTTAGTGTGTGGAGCGTAAATTACCATCCACAATCAGTGTGTTTTGCTGGCTTTATGTGTTGATCGTTTGGTTGTTTTACTACATAGAGATCTTGTTGAAAGTGTGTTGTTGTTGTTGTTGTTGTGGTTGGGGACTTTCTGTGTGTGTGTTGCTGTTGTTGCTATAGTTGTTGTATTTTGGCCAATGTGTGAATTTAGACCTAAAAATTTTTGTTCATGTCAGCTATTGTGTCAGTTTTCATTTCAACTTCTTTCCATAGGGAACGATTTATGCGGTTTTTTTTTCGTTTGTACGCGCGAACTCGTCTTAAATTAGCGGTTTTTTTATTTTGGCGTTTTTTTTTAAGTTTTTTCTTACTTTTTACGTTGAGATCATTATTAATTTTTTCTATAAATTTTATGTCTTATATTTTTTGTTAAACACGAACGTGCTTGAAAAAAACTAGTGCGATTTTTTTTTGTGAAAAAAAAATTTAACGAAAAATTAATACAACAAATTAATGAATTGTATAATCTACTAATAACATACAACTAATTAAATGCTGTAGCTAATAAATTAATCAAATATAGAGCAAAAAAAAAAAAAAAATTAAAAAAGTTTCGGTTCTAAGTTGATCCATTAGTAGTACAATTTTAAGAGTGTGTGGTGTGTGTGCCTTTTTTTGTTAATTCTAATTCAACAAAAAAATATTATTGTTTTTGCTGTTGTTATTCTTGCCAGAGTTCTATGTTAATTGATTGAAAAATTATACAAAATTTCGTAGAGCAAAAAAAAAAATAAATAAAATTAAAATAAAAACAAAATTAAAATAAAATAAATTTTGTTTTATTTAACAAAAAATTTAAAAAAAAATAGCAAAATGTGGAAGTGGTTGTTTTAAAAATAAACAAAAAAGCGTTTTTTCTAAAAAAAATATTTAATTTTGTGCGAAGTGTAGCTCTCAAACTTGTTCATTTTTATTTTTACATTTATCTATACATTGACCGAAACAGCAGCAACAAGAACTACCAGAAATCTAAACACCTTAGAGAGAAAAAACCAACAATAATTTGAAACTTGTTAATTGATTTGTGCATAAATTAGTGCAAAATTGACAGACAGACAGACAGGTGTAAAAGCTGTTTTTCATTTAAAAGTACTATTTAACACAACGAGAAGTTTAAGGAAAAAATGTAAGTTATTTAGGTGAAATTGTTTATTTTTTTCTGAAGAAAAATAGTCTAAAATTATCCCCCACAATGTTACCCAGTGTCTCTATTGTTTTCAAAATAACTCAATGTTTAAGCAATTTTTTGTATTCTTAACAAATCGAATGTAAATTTTTTGTTGAATTTTTGCTAAGAATTTGACCATGTGAAAGAAATATTTAGAACAGGGTTAAATGACCTCTCTCTCGCTAAATCAAACATAGGCATACCCTCACGTACGTCCTTCAAGTGTTAAGTTCCCGAAACTAAAATTCAATTGAAATTTTTTGAGATGCAAATGACCAAATAACTACTCACACACATTTTTGGTTTAATTGCTTCTGCTTAAGGTTTATTTACTTAAGAAAAGTTCAAATAGTAAACATTTTTGTGAACTAACTATTTCTGATCGGAATTTTCAAAAAAAAAAAAAATCCCTTAAACTTAAGCAATTGCTTATTAAGATACAAGTTTCTTAGTTTGAGTAAATCCCTATTCTCACGGTAGTACTTTATCAATCACAAAGTGAGCTAGATACGAATCAACACCTACCCTTTGTGACTTGCCAAGAACCCACAGGGACATGTTTAACGCCGTTCGATGTCTAAACATTTTGCTCAAATAATTGACCTATCTATTATCCATACATGAGAGCACCATTGCCTAATGTGCGGCAGACCATATCAGAAGAACACCTCGACGCCAATACGTAACCAAAATAAGGATATAACCTTTGTTGAATAGGAAACGAACTCCATCTAATAAGCAAAACATAGTTCCTTAATCACAGGGGGCAATGTGAGTAGTGAAGGTCTTGTATGAACAGCATAAAACCCGAACATACCCTGACAAAGAATAAAATTTTATCGTTAACACAAGAATATCATTCTATATTTCCATCACCATTCAACCCATCACACTATAGTCCAACACATTCATAGCTATAAACATCTTATATGTACATTTATTTGGCTATATGGCTGGAGTGATTCATTCTGCCTCCCATTTCTTTCATATTAACTCATTTCCCCCAATTTAGTTACGCCCTCACTGCTCCTTTAGTCTCGACAAGTTCAACGAACTTATCGCGAAATGTTAATATCATTAATCTAACATTCTCTTCATGCGATTTACACCCTAAAGAAATCTCTCTAATAACCGGCTCTGTGAACTTCTGGTTCCCATGGCATCGGATAGGTTCTAAGACCGCAACTCAAGATATCACCAGTTCATATATTTATACACTCTCACTGCTCCTATTGTCCCAACAAGTTCATCGAACTTATCGCGAAATAGTAATATCATTAACCCATCATTCTCTTCGCGCGATTTACACCCTAAAGAAACATCTCCAATAACCGGCACATTATAAAGTCCGGAACAATGCTTTGTCGACCTACTGTTCCCATTACACCAGATATGTTCTAAGACCGCAAATCAAGATTTCACCAGTTTATATTCCTAGCAGTACCCCTACTGGTAAAGCGGTTTCACTATGTGCTAAAACTCTCTCCGATAGTCCTAGATTCTGAACTTTCATAGAAACCTCTCCAAGCACCGGTACAATATAAAGTCCACAATAATGCTCTGGCGACCTCTGGTTCTCGTGGCACCGGATAGGTTCTAAGACCGCAAATCAAGATTTCACCAGTTCATATATTTATACACTCTCATTGCTCCTGTTGCCTCAAAAAGTTTATCGAACTTATCGCGAAATGTTAATATGATTAACCTAACATTCTCTTCGCGCGATTTACACCCTAAAGAAACAACTCCAATAACAACACAATATAAAGTCTGGAACGTTGTTCTGTCTACCTACAGTTTCCATTACACTAGATAGGTTCTAAGACCGCAAGTCAAGATTTCACCAGTTTATAGTCCTAGCAGACTACACCGCCTCACTAGTAGCCCTACTGGTAAAGCAGTTTCACTCTATGGGAAAACTCTGCCCGATATGCCTAGACTCTCTAATTTCGTAGAAACCTCTTCAAAACCGGTACAATATAAAGTCCAGAACAATGCTATGTCGTCTTCTGGTTCTTATGGCACCAGATAAGTTCTAAGACCGCAAGTCAAGATTTCACCAGTTTATAGTCCTAGCGGACTATACCGCCTCATCAGTATCCCTACTGTTAAAGCAGTTTCAAAGCAGTTTTCTCTGTAGGAAAACTCTCTCCGATAGTCCTAGATTCCCAAATTTCGTAGAAGAATCGCTACAATATGTAACAAAGCTATGTCGTCCTCTTCTGTTCATGGCACCCGATATGTGGTGAGACAAAAAGTCAAGATCTTACCAATTTATAGTCCCATCAGACTATATCGCATCACCAGTACCACTACTGGTGAAGTGGTTTCATCCCGATAGCCCAAGATTCTTAACTTTCTTAGAATCTGAATATATAAGCGGGATTTTGAAAGGCATACAGCAAAGATATTGGGATGACCAGTGGTATTAGTCCTAAGACTTCTAAATGACTACTCGATATGGTCACAAACCACATTATAATTATGTATAGTGCAGTTGGATTCAAACACTTCAAACAGTTTACAACGGAATATCAGAATTTGTGCCTACCATTAGGATGGCGAACATAGAACTGCTCTAGGTCAATAAACAGTTTCTAAAAATACCGTAGCGCATTTAAGGGAAATCGCTACAATATAGCACTCTCATTCTGCAGTATTTTCACGGAATCCAAATGTTTGGTGTCTTTTGACGATATAGCTAACCATTTAAACCTAGATCTTGTCCAGATCATTAAAATGCATCTGGAAATATCATAGCGGACGAATGGTCAAAAGCTGACTACCGCCCACTCCCCCCTGGAGCATGTTACCTAGATGAAAGACTACATCTTGGTGTGATTGCAATCCTATTGCCGAAGTCAACAGATCTCAACAGAGGAGTGACTGTGGGACTTAGTGTTGGAAATAAGTTGGTGTTAAATGTATATGATCAATGTAGGGGTATACGTTCTCTTCCGCCCGTATACCTAAAGTGAATTTGTCGAATGTTTTTCTCTATGAGTGTGTGGAATGAATGAGAATGAATGAAAAGTGTGTTGGGTGAAATGATGATGGATGAAAGGTATATTATACAAGTGATACCATTGAATTTTCCTTCCTTGTCTAGGTATGTTCAGAGAAAACTCTGATTTACACACAGTGTATTATCTATGAGAAAGAATAAAGTCCTCGGCTTATTTGATGGAATCGTGTTTCAGACTACTGAATTCGGCTCTTATAAATACGGCCATCCCATCTGTGTTGTTGTAAACGGAAGAGATGTTTTTGCATTTGCATGTACAAAAATTTCCACCCATGTGTGTTAGATACACAAAGTGGCGGTGGTGAGTTGTTGAAAAAAAGTTGAAAAATACCACCGTGAAATAGGCCAACACGGCAGGTGTTCACGTAAAGCACTTCGATATTCAGACTGCCGCCCACATAAAAGGGAAGTTGTCACAATAGTTTTAATTTCATTCTCATGCTGTAAATCTCTAATACAACGGCTGTTTTAAATGTCTACTCAGACCTAAAAGTTAAAGCCGAGCTCTTGCTCTATGTCTTGTCTGCCCAAGTCTGAAGATCTCTCTTGTCACAAAGAGGACTAAGAAGAAACAATTGATAATTTTCTTTGTTTTTCGTCCTGCTTTATCAGATAATAGGAAAGAAACCTTGGAAAATCCTTCATTGGACTATATGGAGTTTCTATATAGTATCAACAATATTAAATCATTCGTTCTTGTGTAGAAATGGGGCGATGCCATTTTAACATGTTAAGTGACTTTGAGTGAAGATCTTTGGTATAATAGAGAATCGTGTAACAAATTCTATATGGAAGTTTACATGGACTGACGGATAGACTGATAAACACATTTACGATCAATTATGGTCCAATATCTACCATATAACTTTTGGTTATAAACAGTTTTTTAAGTGCTACAAACAAACCTTATTAATGGAGAACATTTGTACAAAACTTCAACTGTTTAGCTCTTTCCGTTTGATCCCTATCGTGATTTCAACAGACAGACAGACGGATGGACAAATGGACGGACGGGTGGACAAATGGACGGACGGATGGACGGACGGACGGACGGACGGATGGACGGACGGATGGACTGACAGACGAACTGACGGATGGACGGACATGGCTAGATCATTTAAAAATTTTATAAAGACCCAGAATATATAAACGTATGTGGGTCTATGACCAATATTTCGATGTGTAACAAACGTAATGACAAAATCAACCCTGCAGTTCGACAAAGAGTCAATGTATCCGAAAAAGACAGTGATTTCCACTAACGTCTAACCATCTGGTTGGCTCTAATTCGTCTTTCGTCACGGATGTACTCTTTTTAAACGAGGGTGAAGATAATCGTCACTTTAGTGTCCTCTTTGTAAGCGAGAGAGGGGACACTTAAAAAGCACTTGTGTGACTCTTCGTAACCTTTGGGGTGACGATTGACTTCCTCGTAGGACAAGCACATGTTAAAATAGCTAGTCACCTGGACAGTTAGTGGGTAGGTGTAATCCTATGTGGTAGGTTAAATAGGGAGTTCGGGACTGTCCGACCGAACTGCTGGGAATGTACTCCCATATGTTTAATGATACTTATGAATGTAGGTGTAAAACTATAGGAATCTTTTAGTAAAAAAACTTCAAAAATGTAGTTTCAAATTAATAAAATATTCATAACTGAATGCTCCTTTTTCATACCCCTATTTTTTGTTTCAAATATTATTATTAAATTTCCAATATCTTCATACTAGTATTTTCAAGAAAACATTCATACACTTTAAAGGGGGAAATTAACAAATTACTAAAAAAACGTGCTTCCCACTCATTATCACATCAACAATATCTGTACTCGAAAACTAAAAATGTACACTATTTAATATTATTTTAAAAAACTTATTCAATATCACTAAAACTTTACTTTTTTTCTATTTTCAGTTAAAATTCCAACAAACTCAACAATTAAACAACAAATAGTGCGTATTTTTTTTTACAACATACTTGAAAAAAAAAAGAAATTATTTACTACATTTTGTTAACCCTTCATAAATTTATTGATAAAAGTTAAAAAAAATACACATAAAGTCAAGAGAACGTTAAACGTAATTATTTAAAAAAAAAAGTGATATCAACTGATATGAAATGATATGATAGACATACTTGTACATAAATAGTTTTATGTTTAAAATAAAATAATAAAAATATATTTTGATAAGATAACAAGTTAAAAAAAAGAATAACTTTACAAAATCAACTACAATTAAAGAAAACAAATTCATTTAAAATTAAAGTGTTAAAGTGCAAAAATTTATAAACTGATTAAAAATAAATATTAATTTAAATTATAAAAATTCAAATTCTTAGAACTTTATAGTAAGAAAAACAAAAATTAAACCAAAAGGTGAGTAAATTTAAAAATTAAACAGAAATTTCTATAGTAGTATAATATATTTTTTGCGATACTTTTAATATTTTTGCCCTCTTTGTGTTTTTGCAACACATATGTACATACGTGCTTGTACTTAATCTAAAATGTATGTAAGTACATTCACACAAATGTATCTAAGTATCAGTAAATTCCTCTGTTTAGTTTATCTCGTTGAGAAAATATTTGGCATTAAATGTCTGCTTTTTTTATATATTTTTTGCAACTTAGACATTTACAGTAGTAGTATCTCTAAGTTTATATTTTTTTATCTACCAGTAACTAGATATAGACAGACAGAAGAAATGTTATACTACAGGCATGGACAATTGAGAATTTGAAATAGTACTAATGTTAGAATTGAACTACAACTGAACTAGAACTGAACTAGAACTGAACTAGAACTGAACTAGAACTGAACTAGAACTGAACTAGAACTGAACTAGAACTGAACTAGAACTGAACTAGAACTGAACTAGAACTGAACTAGAACTGAACTAGAACTGAACTAGAACTGAACTAGAACTGAACTAGAACTGAACTAGAACTGAACTAGAACTGAACTAGAACTGAACTAGAACTGAACTAGAACTGAACTAGAACTGAACTAGAACTGAACTAGAACTGAACTAGAACTGAACTAGAACTGAACTAGAACTGAACTAGAACTGAACTAGAACTGAACTAGAACTGAACTAGAACTGAACTAGAACTGAACTAGAACTGAACTAGAACTGAACTAGAACTGAACTAGAACTGAACTAGAACTGAACTAGAACTGAACTAGAACTGAACTAGAACTGAACTAGAACTGAACTAGAACTGAACTAGAACTGAACTAGAACTGAACTAGAACTGAACTAGAACTGAACTAGAACTGAACTAGAACTGAACTAGAACTGAACTAGAACTGAACTAGAACTGAACTAGAACTGAACTAGAACTGAACTAAACTGAACTAGAACTGAACTAGAACTGAACTAGAACTGAACTAGAACTGAACTAGAACTGAACTAGAACTGAACTAGAACTGAACTAGAACTGAACTAGAACTGAACTAGAACTGAACTAGAACTGAACTAGAACTGAACTAGAACTGAACTAGAACTGAACTAGAACTGAACTAGAACTGAACTAGAACTGAACTAGAACTAGAACTGAACTAGAACTGAACTAGAACTGAACTAGAACTGAACTAGAACTGAACTAGAACTGAACTAGAACTGAACTAGAACTGAACTAGAACAGAACTAGAACTGAACTAGAACTGAACTAGAACTGAACTAGAACTGAACTAGAACTGAACTAGAACTGAACTAGAACTGAACTAGAACTGAACTAGAACTGAACTAGAACTGAACTAGAACTGAACTAGAACTGAACTAGAACTAAACTAGAACTGAACTAGAACTGAACTAGAAGAACTACTGAACTAGAACTGAACTAGAACTGAACTAGAACTGAACTAGAACTGAACTAGAACTGAACTAGAACTGAACTAGAACTGAACTAGAACTGAACTAGAACTGAACTAGAACTGAACCAGCACTGAACTAGAACTGAACTAGAACTGAACTAGAACTGAAATAGAACTGAACTAAAACAGAACTAGAACTGAACTAGAACTGAACTAGAACTGAACTAGAACTGAACTAGAACTGAACTAGAACTGAACTAGAACTGAACTAGAACTGAACTAGAACTGAACTAGAACTGAACTAGAACTGAACTAGAACAGAAATAGAAAGAAATAGAACTGAACTAGAACTGAACTAGAACTGAACTACTGAACTGAACTGAACTGAACTAGAACTGAACTAGAACTGAACTAGAACTGAACTAGAACTGAACTAGAACTGAACTAGAACTGAACTAGAACTGAACTAGAACTGAACTAGAACTGAACTAGAACTGAACTAGAACTGAACTAGAACTGAACTAGAACTGAACTAGAACTGAACTAGAACTGAACTAGAACTGAACTAGAACTGAACTAGAACTGAACTAGAACTGAACTAGAACTGAACTAGAACTGAACTAGAACTGAACTAGAACTGAACTAGAACTGAACTAGAACTGAACTGGAACTGAACTAGAACTGAACTAGAACTGAACTAGAACTGAAGTAGAACTGAACTAGAACTGAACTAGAACTGAACTAGAACTGAACTAGAACTGAACTAGAACTGAAGTAGAACTGAACTAGAACTGAACTAGAACTGAACTAGAACTGAACTAGAACTGAAGTAGAACTGAACTAGAACTGAAGTAGAACTGAAGTAGAACTGAACTAGAACCGAACTAGAACTGAACTAGAACTGAACTAGAACTGAACTAGAACTGAACTAGAACTGAACTAGAACTGAACTAGAACTGAACTAGAACTGAAGTATAACTGAACTAGAACTGAACTAGAACTGAACTAGAACTGAACTAGAACTGAACTAGAACTGAACTAGAACTGAACTAGAACTGAACTAGAACTGAAGTAGAACTGAACTAGAACTGAAGTAGAACTGAAGTAGAACTGAACTAGAACCTGAACTAGAACTGAACTAGAACTGAACTAGAACTGAACTAGAACTGAACTAGAACTGAACTAGAACTGAACTAGAACTGAACTAGAACTGAACTAGAACTGAACTAGAACTGAACTAGAACTGAACTAGAACTGAACTAGAACTGAACTAGAACTGAACTAGAACTGAACTAGAACTGAACTAGAACTGAACTAGAACTGAACTAGAACTGAACTAGAACTGAACTAGAACTGAACTAGAACTGAACTAGAACTGAACTAGAACTGAACTAGAACTGAACTAGAACTGAACTAGAACTGAACTAGAACTGAACTAGAACTGAACTAGAACTGAACTAGAACTGAACTAGAACTGAACTAGAACTGAACTAGAACTGAACTAGAACTGAACTAGAACTGAACTAGAACTGAACTAGAACTGAACTAGAACTGAACTAGAACTGAACTAGAACTGAACTAGAACTGAACTAGAACTGAACTAGAACTGAACTAGAACTGAACTAGAACTGAACTAGAACTGAACCAGCACTGAACTAGAACTGAACTAGAACTGAACTAGAACTGAAATAGAACTGAACTAAAACAGAACTAGAACTGAACTAGAACTGAACTAGAACTGAACTAGAACTGAACTAGAACTGAACTAGAACTGAACTAGAACTGAACTAGAACTGAACTAGAACTGAACTAGAACTGAACTAGAACTGAACTAGAACAGAAATAGAACAGAAATAGAACTGAACTAGAACTGAACTAGAACTGAACTAGAACTGAACTGAACTGAACTAGAACTGAACTAGAACTGAACTAGAACTGAACTAGAACTGAACTAGAACTGAACTAGAACTGAACTAGAACTGAACTACTGAACTAGAACTGAACTAGAACTGAACTAGAACTGAACTAGAACTGAACTAGAACTGAACTAGAACTGAACTAGAACTGAACTAGAACTGAACTAGAACTGAACTAGAACTGAACTAGAACTGAACTAGAACTGAACTAGAACTGAACTAGAACTGAACTAGAACTGAACTAGAACTGAACTAGAACTGAACTGGAACTGAACTAGAACTGAACTAGAACTGAACTAGAACTGAAGTAGAACTGAACTAGAACTGAACTAGAACTGAACTAGAACTGAACTAGAACTGAACTAGAACTGAAGTAGAACTGAACTAGAACTGAACTAGAACTGAACTAGAACTGAACTAGAACTGAAGTAGAACTGAACTAGAACTGAAGTAGAACTGAAGTAGAACTGAACTAGAACTGAACTAGAACTGAAGTAGAACTGAACTAGAACTGAACTAGAACTGAACTAGAACTGAAGTAGAACTGAACTAGAACTGAAGTAGAACTGAAGTAGAACTGAAGTAGAACTGAACTAGAACTGAACTAGAACCGAACTAGAACTGAACTAGAACTGAACTAGAACTGAACTAGAACTGAACTAGAACTGAACTAGAACTGAACTAGAACTGAACTAGAACTGAAGTATAACTGAACTAGAACTGAACTAGAACTGAACTAGAACTGAACTGGAACTGAACTAGAACTGAACTAGAACTGAACTAGAACTGAAGTAGAACTGAACTAGAACTGAACTAGAACTGAACTAGAACTGAAGTAGAACTGAACTAGAACTGAAGTAGAACTGAAGTAGAACTGAACTAGAACTGAACTAGAACCGAACTAGAACTGAACTAGAACTGAACTAGAACTGAACTAGAACTGAACTAGAACTGAAGTATAACTGAACTAGAACTGAACTAGAACTGAACTAGAACTGAACTAGAACTAAACTAGAACTGAACTAGAACTGAATTACAACTGAACTACAATTGAACTAGAACTGAACTACAACTGACCTACTACTGAACCGGAACTAGAACTAGAAGTAAACTAGTTGCTAAGATTTTCCAACAAATTTGTAATGACACTTAGTTTTCCATCCCTGTTATACAGACAAGAAATTAAAACAGTAAACAGTAAATGTCAAGTCATGTGTATGTTTAGTGATGGAATAGAAAGAGATATCAGTAAAGAATTTTAATTATTATATTTTTGGCATAAGTAGAACTGAAGTAGAACTGAACTAGAACTGAAC